GTGGCATTCTCTTGTAATATGGAAAAGATGGATGGATGGATGGATAGATGGATGGATGGATGGATGGATGGATGGATGGATGGATGGATGGATGGAGTGAAGAAAAACTTGATTTTCATTCAAAAGACAAGATTCTGGAAAAATCTAAATGGCTGAAATTTCCAGTAGCTGAAAATGGAAGTATTAGCACCTTGCAAGATCTTCTGATGTCCCCCATCAATAGTTCCTAATCTGCTAAATTTGCCTAAGTGCCAAACTTCATGATCCACCTCTATCTTAATGGACAACTGTTTCAACCATTTATGAATGGAGAAAAGGCTTTCTGGGGAGTCTGCTACTTCTGATAATTCAGATAAGAAGAAGGATGTAGAAGGCCTCCTGAGGTTTTAGCTCTTCCATGGAAAAGCTTTTCATTGTGTGTTTATAGTCGCACTCTGAAATGCTTTGGTCCAGGCGCAGTCCTGTTTGGTGATGAGCTGTTGATAGAAGAACTAATCCATACTAAGTGACAGACAGGATATTCCTTACAGGCTGGTCAAATGGCTGACTTAATGACAAACATCCGCATGCTTTTGGAGAGAGCCAACATGATTGCTTGTCACCAGCTCTGCCTCTCTCAGGAGAAAATCTAAGGATAGTAATAGTGACATCTGAAACATATGAAATCTCCAAGGTCCAACATTTGTCTGAGGACAAGAACTCTTCCTTGCTTCGCTGAATCTGAAGAAAGCTTACCTAACAATAACATCCCAGAAGTTTAGCACAGAATGAGCAAGCTTGCCTGTTCGTTTGTAGGCTGGACTTTACCACTGTAGGAAACATATTTGCCGGTGGCAAATGTTTGTGTGAACTCTTCTGATCAAAGCAATCAATGTTAGTTGGCTTTCTCTACCCTTCCATTCCCACCTCTTGTTACCCCATGCAATAATAGCAATAGCACTTAGACTTATATACCGCGTTGTAGTGCTTTACAGCCCTCTCTAAGCGGTATACAATGTCAGCATATTCGCCCCCAACAATCTGGGTCCTTTTACTGACCTCGGAAGGATGGAAGACTTTGAGTCTGTGAGATTCGAACTGCTGACAGTCGGCAGAATTAGCCTGCAATGCTGCATTCTAACCACTCTGCCAACACTGCTCATAATATCCGATTCCTCATAATATCACATTATGAGGAATCAGTTATTTCCAATACTCAGGACCAAATTTCCTACGAATGTGTTGGTGGGGCTCACAAGACGCATGAGTACAGGTAGTCCTCACTTAATAACCACAATTGAGCTTGCAGTTTCCCTCATAAGTTGTAGTGGTCATTAGGCGGATCACCACGTAGCCTGACTCAACTGTACAATCATTTTTACAACTGCGGTAAAGCATGGTTGTTAAGTGAATCACATGGTTGTTGAGTGACTCTGTTTTCCCGAATGGAATTTTTGGCCAAAAACCAGCCCCCTCCCCACCAAAAAGAAAGCACAAATTGTTGTCATTTTACCTCAGGATGCTGCAACTGGTTGTAAATGCAAGCCAGTTACCCAAAATGTTGTGTGTGTTTGTATGTGTGTGTGTTAACTTTGAGGACAGGCCATAAGTAACTTTGTGGAGGTAGTTGTAAATTTGAACAGTCACTAAGTTAACCGCTTAAACAAAACTACCTGTATATAATAAGGCAGTAAAAAAGAGGACAGTTCTGTCCTTTTTTTATTCAGTGTTTTTCAACCTTGGGAACTTGAAGATAGGTGGACTTCAACTCCCAGAATTCCCCAGCCAGCATGGCTGGCTGGGCAATTCTGGGAGTTGAAGTCCACCTATCTTCAAGTTTCCAAGTTTGAGAAATGTCTTATCTCATTGTGAAAAGCTCATTTTCTCAACTCACATTTACCATTTCTGTCCTCCTTAGATGCTCTCCCCTCTGCAGAAGATGACGATGACGATGATGATTCCTCCTCGGAAGAAAAGGAAGCAGACAACTCCAAACCGAACCGTACGTATAAGCATATCTTTTCCCGACCTTGTTCAAAATCAGCCATGACATCTTGCAAAAAAACCAGTTGGGAGTCTTTTCCCAAGCGAACCGAATTTTGTGTAAAACTTTTTTTTTTTTTTTTT